CACGGAAGGTACAATCCGCCGCTGTATCCCCGCGGGCGTTTCTAATGCTGCTTCTGAACGTACCGCGGTTTGCTCTTTTTTTGCGTTAACGCTGCTGAGCTTTGATTCCGAGTTTGACTCGGCTGCTGGTGCCCGGGGACGGACGGGGTGGGGAGGAGGCTGTTCAGTGAGGAAGCAATATCATTTTAATTTCTAGCCTTTCCTTTCAAGTTTCGCTGAAGTCGTTTTTCCGTTTCGCCGGGCCGCCCGATGTCGGTGTTGCATGCAGCGTCGCTGCAGCTCGCCGCCGAGCCCGGGGCTTGGTGGGCTCGCTGCTGCTGCCGCCGGATAACGATGCTTGTTTGATGGAAGTTGCATGTTAATAACGGCCTGCCTTTTACCTGCTTTAGCAATGCAAGCTTATGCAATGTGAGTTTTGCCTGCTTTTAGCGTTCCCGAATGGCTGCCTTACCTGGATTTGCTGTCAAGCTAACGTTTCCTGTAGGTTACAGCCTGGACTCTGATTTGTGTTCTTGTAGTGTCCTATATGTTTATTTTTAGCATAACCAGGATATCGCTGTTCAGCTTAAAGAGAAATCCTGAGCATTTTTGCCTGATCTCAGAGAAGTGAAAATAAAAATAACCAAAGGCACAAATGTACAACTTTAACCATACTGCAGCAGCTAGAAGACTTTGTAGTCTTATGTTACAGTAAACGCACGTGACTTATGTATGTGGTTTCTGAAGCTGACCAAATATAGTGAAATACTTTCTTACGTGGAGATTACTTTAAAAGCTTCTGTTTAATCCACTTCCAAATGAAAAGTTTTACAAATGCTAATTTTCTTCTGCCTCCGGCAGAAAGGTGGAGCTCTGACGGGGTCTGCGAACCAACCTGGGTACACATCGGTTTCTGCTGGTGATAGGCTTTATGATAGGCCAGCCTCCATTTCTTTCAGGGGATTTTATAAATCTGACATAATCCCTTGATTTAATCTTGATTTTTTTTTTTTTTTCTGTTGTTACTTTTCCTTGCATGTGCTTTCTCTGTACCTGATTACTGCTGCGAGGAAGTTCATGCACAAAGTATTTCCACTTGTTTAAGATATATTGTGAAATTGTTTGTAGAACGTATCCAGGAATAATGCACATGATGTGCCTACCGGGGGAAAAAAATTTTAGAAAGGGAGCTTGTAATTCTGTAGGTGGAAGCTGCGTGGGTGTGACATTATTAAAGCCAACAGGTCTTGTCTGACTGTGAGCATCCTCTGGAGAAGGCTCAATTCTTTTGAAAGACTTTCTCTACTTGTAAATGGAATCAGGTCCTAGCTCCCAGGGATTAACAGTCTTGAACCTATAGCGTTTGCTTAGTTACCGCATACATCTTCAGCAGCTGCCAGCTCCTGTCATGAGATGCAGGCTGGGCTTGTCCATTCTCTGCTGGAAACTCTCACATAAACGACGTGGGAAATCTTTGTACAAACAGTTGCTAAAACACGGGACCTGAGAATGACTTTTTCGTTTTTGGTTTAGAAACCTTCAAACTTTGTCCAACAGAAGAATTTAGCAATGCAGTACCAACCCTGAAGCTAATACAAGTGTGCTTGTCTTGAGTATAAGGTTGGACTATATACGTGACAGTGCCAGCGTTTAATGCTGTCGTCTCAATCTGGATCGGGGTTTTACTCAAGGTGGAACCAAGTTTGGTGGGAACGTCAGCACCTATGAACTGTAGTTTCATATTAGAGACAGGCAATGCCAACTGTCTCTGCCAGCCGTGAAGCAGTTGTAGGTAGCCAGAAGGTGTTTTGCCGGATTTCTTACTGCTAGAAGTGAATTTTTTATATGAGCAAGTCTATTTTGAGCCTCAGACACTCTTCTTGCTATTGAGTGTGGGTCCTTTGGAAGGAACAAAGGTTACATAATATTATCAAATATTTATGCAGCAGCATTATGCAGAACAGTTCAGAACCACTAAATAATAAAATATTCATGGCCACAATTGGCTGATGCAGAGCATTCTGGGATCCAAGAGGTCCCAAATTTTTTGTATTAAGCTACTGCCTATATAATCAGTCTGTTCTGGAGCCTCGTAAAAGTTCAAGTCTCTGATCCTGGCTCTAGAGCAGAGATTCCTAGATGACTTCATAGCAGTGAACTGCTTTATCAGTAGAGTCGCTGCCTCTCCTCAGCCAGCTGAACGTCCTTGCTATCTGGTGCACTTGATCGCTTGGGAAGTGGATGCTGAGAAAACTGTTTAGCATACCTTATCTCTTTAATAGGCTTACTGGCTAGAAATGAGGAGAAACGAGCATCCCAGGCTGGCCACCTTTCTGGGAGCCAGTTACATATGGCCTACAGACCACAGCTGGTGAACTGCTACTCAAAAATTAAACCCCTGCCTTTCCCTAAGGAGACGTAATGGTCTATTACCTTTATTCCAAGTGGCCTTTACCTTCAGAATCCCCGAGGCTTCAGAGCACCTTCTCAGTTTCCTCCAGGGAGGGGAGCACTTAAGCATTTTATAACATTTTTATAACATATATGTGTTATTTTTATAACATATTTAACATTTTCATTAGGAGAAATGAGGCATGTTGTACAGATAGACAGATGGAGAGAAGGACAGCTGAAAGAGCAGGGAGCCTGGTGGCCTTCAGCCCCTTCCGGAGATCAGCAGACCGTTCTCTTGACCTTCCCTTGCCAATGAGCCATTCACCCGGTGTATCTCAGAGGTGACACTTCAGCTTTTTATAATCTTTACACGGTGTTGCGTGGATTGGGACCAAAACGGCCTTCCACATCATGCTAGACTTTGATAACAGAGGAGGCACGTAACCAGGATTAATCTCACCTGCCTGTCTCTGTCATTTAAAGCGGATAGCTTTTAGTGAATGTTACCAAGAGATTTCCCCCTTTGTTAAGGGTTTGGTGTGCTTTGAGTAAGGGAAGATGTCAGCTTCTCCCCCACCCCTCATAGACCAGAAGCTCTTAGTCAAGGGCTGTTTGATACCAGACGTGAAGGGTTCAATGATTGCTTGTTGACTATTTCTCCTGACATCCATCTGCTGGAATGGGCAGCACTAAGCTGTATTTCAAGTGCAGAAAATTAGTTGCTAGTTTAAAATGTTCTAGCCCTTGGTTACTAATGTTTGCCAAGCACCGAGGGCTCTCTGTAAGTGCTTGCCTGTGAGCCAACGAGCCCGTGCAGCTGGCATTTCCATCGCTGCTGTGGTGCTTTTGGTACTAAACACTTCATAATAGGACAGCAGGAACCAGGTTGGAAGCGCTGTCCTCTGACAATGAGGACTTTGTTGAGTTCTTCTTTTACATGCTGTATTGGGAGTCACATGTTTGGCAAGGAGTCAAAGCATCTTAACGCGCATGGCTTGCTAAGTCCCAGAGAGAGGGGATTTTTCAGAGCGTTTTTCAGATATTCAGTGTGTCACTTGATTTAATCTTTTTTTAGTAGAACTTTTGAAAGATACTGAAGTACTTTGGAGGCGCTTACACTACTGCTCCTAAATCAGCACTTGCATTTATCTGAGGGTTTTAAGCTTTTACTATTTTTGTTATGCTTTTCTGGCTAATATTTTGCAAGGCAGAAAAAGTTCTGGAAGATGTCAATCTTTCACTCAGTGTTGGAATGGGCCTGCTATTGAGTTCAGCCTTTAGAAAATGCTGGAAGTGAGCAAAACAGGATTTAGCCTAAGTAGTACAATAGGTACCAGCTGCTTTGAAGTGACAATCTGTCCAATTCTAATGTTTAAAAGAAAAGTAGCTGGAAGGTCTATGTTGGCTGGTTAATCAAGGCCCTGTGTGCAAATACCACCATTGCTTGTGACATCTCAGTAGAGCACTGGTTTGTCTACCTAGTAGTGCTTTCTGTACTGCTGTTTCTGAGATCCAGTTGAAAGAGAAGCTGCTCTGCTGGGAGCAATACTGCATTGGTCTGGGGCCAGTCTGCCTCTGAGATATTTGCTAATGGGCTTTGTATGATCAAATGTCTTGTTCACGACAGCTTCCTTGGATTGTGTTGTGTGGCTGCATTTTTATTGATCTCCTCTGTTCTTGGTTACTTTAAGCTGAGGATTAGATAATAGAGGGAAACACGAAGCAGAGTGAAAAGCCTTAAAATACGCTGCAGTGATCCTGTCTAGACTGCTAGAACTGCAGCCCCTGCAAGTGGTTCCCTTTGCTTGGTTTCATGAGCTTCCAGTGCCAGCGGGAGCCCCTTGCCCGCACTGAAAGCCCTGTGGGCTTTCCCCGCTGCAGGCTGACACAAGAGTGCTTCCAAATTCACTTTTATCTGTTACAGTATCAGTTATGGTTGGAATATTTGTTAATGAGAAAATTGTCCCACTGATGTTTAACCTCACAGCAAGGATATGCTCAGATACATGGTGTGACCTCTCCGCCCCTCAGCATGAGATCACTAAGTTGGCCATGGTTGTTTTATTGCTATGTTGCTTGTGCAAACGGTGGGTGTGTTTTGGGGGGATCCTGCCTCAAAGTCTATGGACACACATGTTCCAGAAATGAAGAGAAAGCTTCACAAGATGCTGCCCTGTGAGTTTTGTGACTAGAGAGAAACAGAGCCCGGGGACTCCAGCCTCTCTGTGGGCAGCTGGTTCGGTGATGCTCCAGTTCCTTCAAAAAAATAAAAATAAAAAAAAAAAGGTGGGGTGGGGGGAGAAGTCAAATCTCATACTTCAGTGACCTCTCTAAGAAAAAAGGTGTGTTGACTTAAAGTGAGCTTTTTGTAAGCAGACCCCTTGTGAAGCCTGAAGAGCACTGCAGTAAAACATAGCTGCATGTTTCCAGGCTGACCCAGGGCAGCCCAGATTTTGCCTTTGCAGCTCAAAGATCTCTGTGAAGTAAATGGAGCATTTGCCCCCAGGGTGTCAGCTGCAGCTCTGGGCTTTGGCTCCCTGTGACAGATGCAGGCAAGCAGCCTTGCTGGTGGTGGAAGGCCTCAGGCTGCAAACAGCTTTGTGGTCCTGGCCCTGTGTTAAAGGGGGAGGAAATGGGCTAGAGCACTATGAATGCTCCTTGGCCTAAGCAAGAAAACCTGAATGGGAGGCTGGGCTGCTACAGGGCTCTGTTTCCTTAGGGAGCTCTGCTAGCAGGGTTTTACCTGGAGCTGTCCTGGGAGCATGGGTTAATGAGCACGTACACCTGATGCCATGCACACTAATTGCAGTGATGTCTTTTGTTTCCTTTACCTTGTTCTCTGCTGCATCTGCTGCTGCGCTGCTGCGGTCTGTATCTCTGCTCCTGTCTTTCCCTGTATGAATGTTTCTCCTCCTCTGCCTTCTACTCCTGTTGCCCTCCAGACCACCACCCGGCGGCCCAAGGTGAGAACCAGTAGGTGCGGTCAGTGGGCACTGATCATCTGATTTTTTTTTTTTTTTTTTAATGAACTAATTGAGTGCTAATCCCAAAGTGCATTTTCTGCTCTCCCGTCTCTTTGTGTAGAACCTGAAGGAGTTCACAAGACTGATGTGTTCCTCTAGAATGTGTCTAAATCACTGGTGATTCGCTTGGGCGAGATGTGCATATAAAAACTTTATGCTCTTAGCCGGAGCTCATCTAACAGAGCGGAGCATAAAAGTGATGTAGCAATGCCAAGTCCGTCTGGCTGGCAGAACAATCCTCTTGGTGTCCCTCTGTTAATGGTATTACTTGCTTCTCACCGACTGCTGTTTGCTTTCTTGTATGGGATACTTTTCAGCAGGGGCTTGAGATGACCTGTTGGAGGAGAGAGGTAAGAGCTAAGAGATGTCATCCAGGATTGTACTGTTTCCAGCGTTCTGATTCTTTCATGTTTTGAGGTCTGCCCCTAGCAAGCGGGACTTCCTTTGCAAAGGAGGACATAGTTTGAGGAGAACAAAGCGAGGAGATAAATCATCCAAAATCTCTATAATAGACAAGTTATGGTTTGTAAATGGTGAATAATTTTCCCTCCTTTATGGAGGGGCACACTGCAGGGAGGGCTTTATTTTCTCTGGCTTGTACAAGGAACCCCAACCAGGGTAGGGACAGGCCCATTCTGTCCCAAGGCAACTGGGATTCCAGCTGCCAGGCACCCAGCTCTGCCCGGTGAAAAATCTCTTTCACTGTCACTTAGGCACTGTAGGGCCACAGGCCAGTCTGAGTTAGGGCCTCATGAAAAAATAATGTGGCAGAAGTATATGAACACGCTCTGCAATATAAGGAGGAATTCACCACTCATTCTCTCACTGACCTTAGTGCTCTGATGCTAGGTAAAAATTTCCTTAAAATGTCTCCTCCCCAAACGTTTGAGACGTGGTATGGATTTTGCTGTGGGTCCATGTGACATGTTGGGCTGCTAGCAATGAGGCAGAAAAGTGAGTTCAAATGGATCTGGAGCCAAAGTTTGCAATTCCGCCTGGAACATTGCCCCTTGCAGGGCCAGTCCAGAGCGCTCTCAGCTGATCGTGGGTCCTTGCTCTTGCCGTTGCCTCAGTGTGAGTGATGTTGTCGTGTTCCCTTCAACCTCTGCTGGGGACAAGAAGTGAGTGGATGTCCTACCTGACTTTTTTCCTATTCCTTTGACCTCAAACATTCACCCAGCAAGAGGAGGGCGAAGGCATCCGGGCACGTGTGTTGGGATCGAAGCTGCTGCCCATATTGACTAGCCAGTCTGGCACTCTGCAGGGATGAAGGCCCCTCTCCAGCCATTGCATCCTATTTTGACAGGGCTCACGAATGTGTTCACAACAGATACGGTCAGCTGGCAGGTCTCTTCCTCTGGGGGCCTTCCCAGACCTTCTTGGGTTACCGGGAATAGATTTTCAGTAGGAACCATTAATGCAGTTTGCCCGGTAGCTGTGCAGTGGGCTCTAGGACACGCCAGAGCATGCTGAGCTTTGTGCCTTTTTGAAGAAGGAAGAGATAGCATCAGTCGCTGTTTGGCATGCCAGCATCCTGGAGCAGGAGTCCCCCGGGACTTGTGTCAGAAAGGCGGTACCCGACCCTCTCTGAGCGAGGCCTGGCTGTGGGCCAAGCCTGTCCCCGGGCCTTCCCTGACCCTGACTGTCCAGGTCAAGTTGCAGGTGGTTATCAGAACGGTCTCCAAATATTTCTAGCGCTTCAGATGCGATGTGCGATGAAACTATACTAGGTATGTCCCCTGCTGATGCTGCTCTGTTCCCACAGAGGCTGAAAGCTCACTCTGTAAGGCTTTTTAAATCCCTAAAGCAAAAGGAACAAGAACTTCCTTGTTTCGAGTAGCGTGCTACTTGGAGATGGTGCCACGGAGACTGTTCCCAGGCAGGGGCTTGTGTGGTCCCTCGGAGAGTCTCTGATCTCGCTCCAGGGGAGAGGCTCAGCTGCCTGCTTGTCTGTACTGCGCTTCAGCCATTGCAGTCATTTTAGGTCAGATTTGTCTGAAATATATCTAGGACTCAGCAGAAGATCTATCTCTGCAGTATGGCAGGTGATCGTCTGATTTCTGCTTGCTGTTTCTGCTCAGGCAGGTGGGTGCAGCAACGCGAGGGCTGCGCCTGGCCCAGCAGTGCCCCCGCGCATGCCAAGCGCTGTCCTGCCTGGCAGCTCGAGGATGAGCCTCGCTAGACTCTGCGATGCACCAGGAAGCCAATCTCGAGGAATAAAATAAGGAGTCAGGAAATTAATTTGCACAGTGTTAGATGCCACAGAGATGGGTGCTTCAGAAATACGGGTCATTGAAGGGCTGATCAGGTGAACAGCAATGTTTCCGCTGAACCTGGTACTTTCCTTTAGACAGCAGGTTCCCTTGGTCTCGTTGCTTTTCGTTGGCAGCAGTTAACTGCTTTGTAAGCACTGATGAACACATCTCTGCCAAGGGTTGGGTCCTGTCTTTTATGTTAGCATCTGTAAAAAATATGCATAGTATTCCTTTATTATTCAGTGTGGCCTTTTTCGGGAATCTTTGCCCCAGAAAACGTACTTTGGCAATTCCTTTGAAAGAAAGGCTACAAACTCTTTTTATCATAAAATTTGGAAACAAATTGGCATATAGTAAAAGGGATAGTTTGTTCCTGAGAAGAAGGAATAAAATTTGTAATAGTGTACAGGAAAAAACAAGGCTAAAATGAGAAAATAAACAGACTATAAATTAAAATTAACATGTATCTAGCTGTTTCCTAAAATTCCCACAGATTACATAGAATAATAATTTAAAAAAAAAAGTATATAAATTTTTGTCTTCTGTTGACTAGTGTTGGAAGTCCTTAGGCTTACCTGTTTTAATTCCTTGTATTTTTTTTTTTTTTTTTTTTTTTAACATCTCAAAAAGAAGTCTGGATGACTTCAGAGTCTTACAGGCTTAGAGCCATTCTGTTTGTCTTCACCAGCTGTAAAAGTTTTTACTTTCAAGCTCCACTGTTTTTTTTCCCTGGACTCTGATGAACTCTTCCGCCACTCTTTCATTTTCTCCCTCTGTTCCCCTAAAACTCAGTGCTTTGCCCCCAGAACTGGGTAGTTCCAAACAGAGCGTGAAGACGCGGGAGCCGTCCAAGCTCTCCCCAGCTGCAGCCTGCCGCTGCCTGCGGCGTGTCCCCAACAAGCCACTGGGGCCGCTAGCGCCCGGGCGTTGGCAGCGCCTGAGTTCGGGTGCACGGCAAGTGCAGCTCCTCCGAATGCGGAAACAGCAAAGGTGTCTGGTAGTGTTATCAGATGTGGAAAATGGACAGTGGTGAAACCTTTCCGGCTCTTGTCTTTGTGCGCTTTTAGATCTTGCTGTCTCATCCTCTGGAGCTGGGCCACTGAAACCTCTGAGCGCGTTTCTCCACTCTGTGAATGCTGCAGAAGGGACCCTAGCTGGTCCTTTCGTTGATCCAGCCTAGTGCACCCACTTGGCAGGCACAGGTGTAATAAAATTTTACCTTTCCCTAGAATAATTGATCATCTGAATTCTGGCCAAGCCAGACTCCTCCCAGAGCAGCATAAAATGCAGAGTTCACACCACTGGAAGGCCTTTGGAGAACTGTGTTGTCCTCTGCTTGTTGCAAATCTCAGTAAAATGTGGACATAGATATATGCTCAGTTTAGCCAGATTATTCTCCCTGATGTCACTGCTCTCTCTTTGGTGAAACAAAACCCTTTTTGTCTTCTGGGGGAGCTGTTCCTGACCTCAGTCCCCTCCTGAGGGTAGCGCCCCTGGTTAGTGTGTTCAGTTCAAATTCCCACTCTTGGGTCTTAGCCCAGCAGGTAAGTACAAACTGCGTGTGTGAAAGAGCCAGAAGCACCTCTGCAGTTTTACTCCTTGCATTTCACCTGTGGTGGAAATGTGAGTCTCTGAGAGACGGTAGTTGTCAATGGGTAAAAATCATCGTAAAAGGAAGACGGAGGACCAAGGCGATCTCAAAGAGGGAG